CTGGGAGTTGAAGTCCACTCATCTTAAAGTTGTCAAGGTTGAGAAACACTGCTCTAAAATGTGCGGGCAACAGTTCTGTACATCTTAAACTCTGCTTCAAAACCAAGACCTGTTTTAAGACAATAGGAAGAGACCCCCTTCCTGCAAAAGTAAATGAAAAGAAAACCTGCAGGCACTTAAGATGGTATACACAATACAACTTTCTAATCTTTAAATTCATAAATTCATAAGTGTAGGAGAGGAACCATTATAGTGGCAAAACATTCAAAGCTTGGTGGCATTTTTTCCGACTAACCATTTTTTTATGAAAAGGCTCAAGCTTTCATAAGGTCCAGCTCACTTAATCAGATGCCCAGAGTGGCTACACTGGTGAAAGGAGAAAGAGAGGGGAAGACAGGTTGGTGACACAGATGCAGGTTAGGTGTGAGACAGATTACATGTGCCCTATCAATTAAGAATTGTAATGTGTTAACAACCCGTTGTGTTGGCTGAGACTTTTGAGATTGCCTGAAACAATTAAAATCTTTAATGAATTGCACTGCTGTTAAAATCAACTTCAACCATTCCTCCCCTCTATAATTCCAGCCTTCCGAAACACACACACACACACACACAACAAGAGCACGAATAACAACCATGGAGCCTTGTGCAGAATAGCTAATTCCACTTGTGGGGATAATAACACTTAAAAGGTTATTATGGCACATTTTATAGTCTCCCTGCATCCTGCCTATATAAAAAATAACAGAATGTTCAGAAAAATGGCCATTTTAAAAAGTCAGATCAAAGTTAGAACACTTCGTGTTTCTGGATCAACATTTTACTGCCTATTGTTGTTCCTAGCACTAGTTCCTAAAAAAGTCAGATCAAAGTTAGAACACTTCGTGTTTCTGGATCAACATTTTACTGCCTATTGTTGTTCCTAGCACTAGTTCCTAAGGAACTAGTTGTTCCTTAGTTGCAGGATCCTCTTATTTTGCACTGCTGCAAATAAGAACTTGCGCTTTGCTGCAGTTGCACGTAATGAAGCTACCCTGGGGTGTCTGCTGGGAGGGGGGTGTCAAAAGTCTGGCTTGGAGAAAGGAAGGCCTCTCCCTTTTATGGGAAGGGATTACTGCCTCTTGAAAAAAGAAAGGAGGCAGTGATATAAACTGTGAGTAGGCAGTCAAGGGTCCAGTCTCATCACATCACACATTGAGAGCTGTAGGAGGTCAAGATGGCCGCCACAACCATGTGATCGAAGCACTGCCCTTTTTACTGTGCAGACCTACTCAAGAGTGGGCCTTCAATTCCTTTCTCCAAGCCAGGGTTTCTCAACCTTGGCCACTTTAAGATGTGTGGACTACAACTCCCAGAATTCCCCAGCCAGCCATGTCCACACATCTTAAAGTGGCCAAGCTTGAGAAATGCTGATCCAGGTAATGTCCATGTCAATCATTACTTGGACGGTTTGCTGATTGGCCAAAAGTATGTTAAATCAGGAGCAGGATTTTTTTAAAAAAACAAAAGGGACTGTATGTTTTACTTCACCTCTAGGTTTCTGGAAGGGTTAGAAATGAGCTCCCTTATTTAAAATGAGAAATAAATAAAAACAGATCCAGGGATGTGACCATTGTGGTTAAAGTGGCGTGAAACCTGCAGATTGGCTGTGGATAAATGGGAAATGGACTGTGCTCTCCTGATTATGCTTTTATGCTTTTCATAGTTTCTATTGTTTTTAATGTTGTTGTTGGATTTTTTGGTTGTTCTTATGCCTTTGGTTATTTTTGGTACAGTCTTGTTTTTTTGTGTTTTTAACTTAACATTTTTTTTAACTTACACCGCCCAGAGTTGTGTTTGGGAGAGGGTTGGCTACATAAATTGAACAAACAAAATAAATAAATAAAGTGGGGGAGGGTGTCGTCTTCCTTGCAGTCACGCACCAGGTCTCCTATTCGGGTTATGAGTCCAGCTTCCCCAGTTCTGGCGACTTCGACTTTCCATCCTCCGCTCTCTGATGATGGGAGATGCCCGCCTTGGACCAGGCATGCGGGCGACCACTGATGGCCTCATTTAGCCCCCGCACTCTGGAGAGCGCCAGTTGGGGAAGGGCCCGCGGAAGGGCCCCGTCCCGGGACCGAGGCGAGCGCCCGACGGGCCGGCGATTCTCTCTCGCCGCTGCAGGCGACCCATTCGCTGCCGGCCCCTCTTGACGTCAAGCGGCAGTGATTAGAGCCGCGCCAAGGCAACGGGAGCGCGGAAGCCCGAGAGCCGCTGCCGAGAAGAGCCGCCAGGGGCGCTGCGGAGCCCAAACTCCGCGCACAGCTCGCTCAGAGGCTGCTTGCACCATGAGGGTCTCCGACGCGGTCGTCCTACAGCTGGTCCTGCTCCTGGCCCTCTGGGGCTCCTCGGAGGCTGACATGCCAGGTACCGCGTCTCCTTCGCCCGCTCGTGGCTCCGCTCTTTCCATTTCTCGGAGGGCGGTGGGGGTGCTGGGCAGCGACCCGGGCGGAGTCATCCTTGGGTCGCCTTCCAAGGGGACTGCTAAGTCACCTTCGTAGAATCTGCTCCCCGCAAGAGAAAAAAGAAAGTGCTCGCCCCGTGCGAGGAAGGCTCCTTAATCGGGAAAAAGGCGCCGAGCAGAACCGATGTTCCGCCTTTGCGGTTGGGTATTAGTGCATCCAACCTGCCTGCTTTGCGGCAGTGGGACCCGACCCCCCCTGCCCTCCTCGCGGCCAACCCCGGGAAATAGATTGTGGTTATGAGCTTTCAGATCGCGAAGACCCTTCTTGGATTCTTTTTCTTTCAGATATCAGTATGTAAGAGATCACCATAGTCCCCAAACCTCACTGCCTCCAAATTATTTATTAGTTGACTAGAATGAGGGACGAGTGCGGGGGGGGGGGGGGGG